ATTTTTTTGATTTTACACATCAGATTTCCAAATAACTATACTAGATTTAGCACTAAAATCAGGGAAACACTACGAAAGATATGGAGATGAAGGAACATGCGAGTCTAATCCAACCACCTGGTTATCAGCAATTCCATTCCCCCTTCTAACCCCCGCAACGCGGGGGAGCCTTCCCTAGTTTCAAGCAAATAGAATAAAATTAATATTTTGGTCATTTGAACCATGGTATAACATGAAAAACAAAGGTATTTTGACCATTTTGGTACTTCTAACCGTTTAAGTCAAATTTTACATTTTTTAAATGGAATAAAACAAATAATTTGGTTATTTAAAAAATCACAAAAAGTACAAAAAAGAACATTTTGACCGGTTTGGTTAGTGTTAACCAAGAATAGTTTCAGTTGGATTTTGTCATTTTTGTTTATTTTGCACAAACAAATAAAACAAATCCTCTGATCATTTGAACCGGTGAAAAAAAAAATATTTTGACCATTTTGGTCATTCTTAACGGTTTTAGTCAAATTTTGTCATTTTGATGAAAATTACACTTTGCTAATTTACTAATATATTTTTAATCAAATTAAACAAATTTTTGCTGGTTCCGATAAAAGAAAATAAAACTATATTATTGTTTTTTTGTTAAAAATAATGTTATTGTTTTGAATTCAAAATAAAATTATGTTGATATTTTACATTTAACATGTTTTATATTTGGTGTTGAATTTGAAAAAAGTTGGTAAGTTGATGGTGAAGATGGTTTGACAAGATTATATTAAATAAAATAATTGAGTAGGATCGTATCAAACCAAAAACATATAATGTTCCAAAGAACATACAATTTATCGGCGACAAATATTCAATTTTTTGTAAATAGTTTCTTTTTGCCAATTACCTATATGATGGATGGTAAATGATAAACCGGGAGGCTCCACCTACAATTTTAATGGTTATATGAGTCAACTTTTTTAACTATTTCTTTTGAAAAAGTTTAGACTACTTTGTCTTTTCTATGTTTTTATTTATTATATATCTAATTGTTTTTATTTTATTATTCAAAATTGAAATTAGGACAAGTTGCTTTCTTATTTTATTTATTTGAGATTGTTTTTATTTTTTTTTTCAAGCATCCTTTTTACGTGGTTTGGCAAAAAAATATTGAAATCAAGACATGTTGCTTTCCTCTTTAAGCTTTTCAATATATTAACCTGGTTCAAAATCATGAGGCACTCAAAATACAAAAGCCCACAATTATCACACATTACATCATAATACAACACTCTCAAAATTACAAAAATACCCCCACTCTAAGCAACTCAAACACAGTATCCAAAAGAAAATCCTTGAACTATTTTACACAGTGAAATACCTCAAATACCTCAAAGCAAAAGTAGTCTTAATCAATCCTACCAACGACTTGTGATGATGGCAAATGAGAAATAACTAATATTAACATGCGATTTTGTCAAATAATCTCCTTGTCCATGACTTAGAAGGAACCAAAACAGGCATCTCTCCAAATCTGGAAATCTTTGGACTCATTTTCATCATCTTCAATTACTGTTTTCCCCTTTTCTATGCTGGAATTCGTTAGTTAATGATCAATGATGGCAACTTATTTCTCCCAAATTTACTCACTATTTGACCATTCCTTTCGTGACCATCAAACACCCCACCAAATGCTCCATCTTCCATTCCATAGTCCTTCATCAAGAATCATATCATCATTAAAAATAAAAAATTGATATATATATATATATATATATATATATATATATATATATATATATATATATATATATATATATATACCCTTTGAGATTTGGCACATACCATCTAAAGAAAGAAAATGGTGAATTTGATCAATGAATTACAAGGAGTGAGATAGGAAACCACCACAAGAAAAATCCTGAATTACTACGGAAAGTTACTACGGAATCAAAATCCGTAGCTATTTTACTACGAAATATGCTACAAAATGGCTTGTCGTAGCTATTTTGTGACGGAAATGGTTACGAAATTGCATTCCGTAGGTAAATCCTAAATAACTACGTATAGTTGCTACGGAATCAAAATTCGTAGTTATTCTACTACAAAATATACTACACAATGACTGGCCATAGCTAATTTGCTACGGAAATGGCTATGGAATTAGATTATGTAGCTAAACATTGAATAGTTGTTATGGAATCGAAATCCGTAGTTATTTTAGTACAAATTATGCTATGGAATTTTTGGTTGCGGCTAGTTCGCTACGAAACTTGTTATGAAATTAATATTCGTAGTTTTTTGGCTAGAGAATTGGCTATGGAATTCAAAATTGTAGTTAGTGGCTACGAAATTGAAATTCGTAGTATTTTGTTACGAAATTTGCAACACAATTAAATTTTGTAGCTAATCTACTATAGAACTTGTTACAAAAATATTAATCGTAGTTATTTATGTATACAATTGGTGTTCGGATTTGCAAAATAACTATGAAATCAAAATCCGTAGCTATTTAGCTACGAAAATATTCCGTAGTTAAGTAGCTATGGAACATGTTTCCATAGCAAAATATAAAAAAAATTATATTCTATTTTAGATTAATAATTTCCTTTCCTATTTTTATAACAAATCAGCCCTTAGTTAAAAGAACAAATTAGCCCATATTTTTGTATCGTCGATTGGAGGAGGTCGTTTTTAATGAATCACAAATGCAAAAGTCAAATGGATTAATGTAAAGTCAACCTTATTTATTAATTATTTTGTAGGCGAGACTTTTGCTCTTTACTCATAATTTTGACAAGCCCTGAAGAAAACTATTCATCACTTGACCTAATTCCTCAGTTTTCCCCGGTCTTCACTTACGCCATTATCGATCGGACTTCACTTTATCGGGAGCTCCTCTCACTCTTGTTTGCTCTGTCGTTCGCCACCTGCTCCGTCAATTGGTAGGTTGTTCTCGATTGATGATCCTCATCGCCTTCGTGCTCACTGTGGATCGTCCTACTCCTCTTCGCCAGTTTTTTCCTCGATCGTCTTCGTCCCTAACAGGTAACCTTCTTCTTTGTTTTGTTTGCTTCTTAAAACCTGCGTGACTCCACTAAATCATCTGCTTGTGTCACCTGAAAATATTAGCGACTATTTCCACCTAATGCTCCAATTTCTCTTTCTATCATCCAATGACATGAGGATCTATTGATCTTTCCATTGAATCCAAGGCGAGTCAATAATCTGTTAACTCTACCAATCCTTACACGCAGCTTGATTCAAGTTTTTATTGGTGATTTTGATTGATCGATTATATTGCATTTGATGCAAATTGTGGATTTTGATTTGACAAATAATGAAGTATTAATGTGACTTTATTGCCTGAGCATCATAGATCACACATTGTTTGCATGTATTGTGATTAAATTAGAATGGATTTTCTAGGATAAAACTCATAATCTGTCTTTGATAGACATTTAGTTTAAGCAAATTGAGAATTTCACCAGATAAACAGTGTTGTATTGTTGTGACTTTGTTGTTGGAATTTCATGAATCACAAAGATTCAGTAGCTAAAGATGAACTTTTTAGGAGAATCATAAGATGCTGCTACTTGCCTAATTGTGCTTTATGTCATGTCATCTCTTTTAATTCACAAAACTAAGCTGTTCAGATTGTTGGTTATAATCATAAATGTTCATGTATGCGTACCTTTTGTTATAATTTTGGTCCATATAGTTTTTTTGTTAAATAATAACCAACTTGACCAACCAATAAGTTTAATTGTACATGATTCTATTTTATGCTTATATCAATTAGTAAACATGTCAATGAGAAAAAAAACACTTAATAGTTCTCACACTTTTCCCCAATACGTAATAAAGTAGTGTAATCCCAGGAATGAATGAATTATATGACCAACAATTGAATATTGATCTAATTCACTTTGAATAGATAGAACAACTACCCCTTGCATTTTTGAAATCTTTCCAGCATTAATCCCTACCCCTTAATATTACATATTTCAGAAACTCATGGACCACAATTAATCTCACCGATATTTGCAATGATTGCATGCTTCTAGTTGTTAATATGTTATTACTAGTTAATATTTGTTAGAATTTAGATTGAAATTTTTTGAGAATTAGTATATGTAGGTTAATCAGTAATGCGTTACTATTTGTGAGTTTGTTGAAAATCAATGGTGTTACTTAAAGGGTTCATCAGGTCTAACTTTTTTTTTTTTAACTTTTTTGACTGTGCAAAATGGGCAGAAAAAGTTGAAATTTGGTTAATCAACATCTTGTTCCATGGAGTTTTTATCTTTGCTAAATTTTCATCTTCATCCAATGCATTTGTTTGAACACTGTTGTATTTTAATTTAATTTCCCAATATATATTTAGATAACGAATGGAATCTTTTGTTAACAATTCCCAATATATAATTAAACTTAAATTGATGTTTGTGGAAGTATTCACTTGTAACTCAAGCCATTTTTATTCGGACTAATTTTTCTCCAAGTGTTGAAGTGTGTTACTGTATGCTTGAACATGATTGTTTGATTTTGCAAATAAATAATTAAAAAGATATACGCATTTTAAGTTTTCTTTTTGTTACATTATTGTAAGTTTCAAAAAAATTTATTATTAAGGCATGTTATGTTGACAAATCTACCAATTATAGTCTTGTACTTTCAGTTTTTTTTTTTAATTATAAGCACATTTTCCTTTGAAAAATTAACTCAATTATTGCATTGCACTTTGTTTGTTGAATTTCTATGTACTTTGTTGTAGGGTTAGAAATAAAGGGATATTAATGTCACTTATATTATGTTTACTTGTCTACAACAATAAGCACATTTTCTTGTCTGCACACCAAATTTACTTTCTTGGAATTTATTTTTCTCTTTTAATCTATTATTGTAATCAAGAATTTCAAGTTTTCAACAACTTTGCTACTATATAAATAATTATTATTTCACTTACTTTTTTACTTAATGATATAACAGGTTAAGCTACTAACTATTTATTTGCTACTAACAATTTATAGGCTTATAGTTGGAATGCAGTTCCCTTACAGCTTCTTTGGCATGCATAATTGGTCTTCAATATGGTCATATTTTAATCAAATTACAGGTGTGAATTTCATTTATATTTTAGAGTATTTTCCCTGGTCAAATCTTAGTTGACCGAGTTTGTTGCAGGGGCATAAAGATCGACTTTGCTTTTAGAGTTTTAGTTTTCAATTTCCAAATAACATTTTAGAATATTATTAAGTTTTTTGGTTTTTTTCAATGTCAGGTATTCCTTTGAACAAGGGCTTGTACATGATGTTGTATCAGGATGAAATAAAAGTAGGATGCTATAACAAAGAAATAAATGAAATTAGGTTGTTATTTCTTAACCCATATTATCTTATATCTTACTTTAATTTTATTAGTTTTGACAGGATTCGAGGGCACATGTAAGAGCCCTATATCTGTTTATAGGGACAATTTAGAGAATGCACACCTTTGGGATCGAAAAGAGGGATACCTAACATTATGGAGCAATATCAACAAAAACATCATTATGCAGGTTCATTTTTTTTACCTTTAATAATAGAAAATCAAGTGTTTTCAACTTTATTTCAAATCATTTTGACATCATGTGACAACTTCATATCCTTTTGGCATCACGCGACGACTTGGAAAGAGAAAAAACAACCATGCTAATGTTGGATTTAATGGTTCTCAAAAGGGGATTTATTTTGTTTCTCGTGTACATGTTAATAGTATGCCAAATAAAAGAGTTGGATTGTTGTTTTTACTTTGTGTTCATTTTCAAATTTTAATCAAGTTGATTGTAAATTTGATTTTGCAGGTTTTTCCATTTTGGTTGAGTATATGTGGCTGTTGGTGTGTATGTGGCGGTTCAAATCTAAACTGTGTGTACGTGGCGGTTCAAATCTAAACTGTTTGATTGTACTTGTAATTAATATTTAGTTTTAATGATTAGACAACCTCGTAGAAGACTTTTCGATGATATCATATATCTATAAAATTGATGTAACTATTAAATTTATATTTACTACATTTTTATATATTTTTATGAATATTATAATTGGAAAATTGGATTTTGTTGAACATTTTTATCATACTGAATTTGCTTTGGAATCTGTTGCTACGTGACAAGTCGTTGTTGAACAAAGACCTACAAAATTCGCTACGGAACAGACGGCTACGGAATTCGCTACGAACAGACGGCTACGGAATTTGCTCAGAACAGACGGCTACGGAATTTGCTACGAACAGACGGCTACGGAATTTGCTACGCAACAGATGGCTACGGAATTTGCTACGCAACAAAAAACTACGGAATTTGCTATGGAACTCAAATTGCAACGGAATAGATGTCGTAGAAACTGTCATAACAAAATTGCTACGGAATTATAATTTCGTAGCTAAACATTTTGCTACAAGAAATATAGCTACAAAGTCTAATTGATAAATTGGGTAGCAAATTCTGTAGTTATTCAGCTTTAGCTACGGAATTTCAGATTTTTGCTATGGAATTTTTCCGTAGCTAAATTGGAATTTTCTTGTAGTGAACCTTGTAAAAGAATGACAACATCTTGGTTGAATCCTTTGGGTCCTCGATGTGTATGGATGGAGCCAATTCTTTTATCGGAAGGGGTATGTTGGTAATATATGATGTTTTCACGACCATAGCCAATCTCATGAATCTCTAGAGATCTCGGGGATATGCAGATACACATTACAGATTTTAATAACCAAAGGCTTCTCAAAATGACCTCTTTATATAAACTCAAATACATAATTATATTCTAGTAGCTGTGGGTGGAGGAGTCCCAAATTATGTATTATTCCTCAAGATGCACATCATGAATGAGAATACAAAAATGTTGAGAGGGTAGTATGGTAAATTCACATGACACTTACTGGGAGGGGTTGTTTGGCTAATAGAAATAGTGCCTGAGAAATTACTATGACCCTTGACTGTATTATTGTATTACAGTTTGAGCACAGCCAGCACCATCTCAACCCAAATATATATGCCACCAAAGCTCTGTATTGACTTTAAACCCTATATTGGCATCTTGTGCAAACTGAAATAACTCTTCAAGCATTAGGTAAAAGGATAAAAAATGGAACAACAGAAAAACAAAAAGAAATCGCACTTAAGAATAACGTAAATTAAAGAAGCACTTGATAGAGAGAAAAAAGAGAGAAAGACACATCGTGGTGTGGTTCATCCACAAAATAATGGTGTGAGGTAGAGACTATGTAAAGATGGCGTTAAGAGACACCCCAATTTACGGAACAAATATTTCAAACCCTGCAAAACCCTAGGTCATTTGCACTTATGCAGAATCCGGACGCTTCTCCCCCGCCACCGTCATCAGTCTCACTGTCATTGAACACCACCATAGCCGCTGTCTATCGTCGTCTTCCTCTCTACAAAGCCTAAGCCGCCACAACCATGATCTTTCTTAACAAATGCAGTCGTCGATCATCCAGTGTGTAAGGATGAGAATTTGAGTGAGCACATGACTGTTAATGGAGGAAGGGATGTCTGGTGACCTTCTATAGGTTGCGGCGGTGGTGGAAGGAGGGTGAAGAGCGTGGTGGTACCGAAGGTCCCCTTGAAATTGAAGCGAGTAAGGAGAGAGATAGAAGAGATATGGGTTTGACGGCGTCTGATGTTGTGTCGATGAGGTTAGGGTTAAGATAGGGTAAAGATACGATGATTGTAAGCTTAATAAGATTGTATGTCATGCTGTAACAGGTATACCTCTTAAATTTCAAGAAATAAGCAATATGTTTAATAAGATAGTATATATATATATATATATATATATATATAATATATATATATATATATATATATATATATATATTATATATATATATATATATATATATAGGAATAGGATCAAATGAGAACACCTAAAAGGTTGAGAACGCGAGAACGGATCTGGACCATCAAAATATTCAGATCTGAGGCTATTATCAAACGGGTCATTTACGTAAATTCTAAAACCATAGGTATTAAAGTGTAACTTGTAAAAGGTCACACGACTATAATGGTAATTGTAATTTTAACTTGTTCCTATAATTTCTCAATCACATATCATATTGCCGTTCAAATTATTTGTCCCCTACTTCATTTCTTTTTTTCTCTCTCTCTCTCTACCTAGGTTTTAATCAATTCCTCCCTCAGCCTCCCTCCATCGCACATCGTTTGAATCAATCCTAATCGGAGCATCGCAAGTCTCCACCTCGATGCGTTTTTGGTTTAATATTTCCTCCATTGCACCATCACTACCCATCTATGCAGCCTACATCACAGGTCAATGAAAGACGTAGGAAGGAAGTGAAGGCAGTCGGCGACGTCTGTGGTCGGCCGTCGTGATGGCGAGGGGAGCGTCTCCGTGGTCGACGAGGCTGAAGAGGAGGAAAGGAGGATGCAGCGAGGGGTGGGTTGTCGGTCTCGGTGGATCGAAAATGGGGCACCTTTGGTGATTGGCTGGATCGAAGAGAAGAAGAAAAGAGAATGGAAGCAGCGGGATGTGGGGTCTGCCATTGGTTTCCGGTGACAAAGCCCCGATATTGGGTTGTTTGGTGATCGAGAAGGGCAGCAACGATTCAAAAATAGGTAAGGGTTCCTTTTTTTTTGTTCTTGTTTGACTTGGCAGAACTCGATAGGCTCAAGTGGGTCTTTGAAGGCTCAAGTGGCAGCCCTTACAATTAATGGAAGAGATAGCCACACAAAGTTGTAATCAGATTCAAGGTAAAAGGTTGTGCACATAAGCTGTTTGATGATATGCGTGAGAGGGGTATTCATTTATGAATAGCAGGGTATTCATTTGTTAATAACAATGTATTCATTTGTAAATAGCAGTGTAATCATGTGTGAATGAGTGTATTTTATTTATGATTAGAGGTATTGTTTTATTCATTTGTGAATACCAGGGTATTCATTTGTTAATAACAATGTATTCATTTGTAAATAGCAATGTAATCATGTGTGAATAAGTGTATTTATTTATGATTAAGGTATTCTTTTATGAAGAAATGATAATTTTTACACCCCTTTTATTTTCAGTTGATTAAAAGAAAGGAAGTGAATTACTTGTAAATTGATATGTATTCATTTGTTATTGCAGTAGTATTAGTTTTTTTGAAAAAAAAATCGTTTATGAATACAAATGTATTTATTTGGGGTTGGATTTCTATTAATTTTTTTGAAAAAAAAACGTGAAACATGAGAAAAAAAATTTAAGAAAAAAAAATTAAATTTTTTTAGTTTTAATTTTTTTTTTGATAAAAATGTTTTTTATATTTCATTAATAAGAAAAATAAAAAATCAAATATCTCCTTCTTTTTTGGTAACTGATCCTAAATTTAAGGGAATTTGATTGATTTTATTTTATTTTAATTTAATTAAAATATGCAATTACTTATATGCCCTTATATATTGATTGGTCCAGAACTGTTCTCACGTTCTCAACCTTTTAGGTGTTCTCATTTGATCATTTCCCTATATATATATATATATATATATATATCTATATATATATATATATATATATATATATATATATATATATATATATATATATATATATATATATATATATATAGAACCATTATTAATCAAGGAACCAATGAACCAATCCAAAACGTCGAAATTTAAAACGATCAACGACAAAAAGAATGGTTGTAGACTTTTACAATGGACGCACATGTAACAGATTATAACAAAACTCACTTCCTTTTTTTCGTTTAAAATTTTTTTAGGCCATGTTTTTTATCGAAAAAAAAAACCGAATATACCGTTGTTCACGATTTTTCGTCCTCTTTCCATAGAGATCTATGATAATATATAAAAAACGAACTTTTTTTTTCCGAAAAAACTTACTTCATTTTCTTTGTTGAAAATTTAAGGTCTATTTTTTTTATAGAAAAATATTAATAAATATATATCAAAATTCATACTTTTTGGTACTTTTAAATATAGATTCATATTCATGTGAAAAAAAACGATATTTCAGTTCAGATTCATATTGTGAACCTGTTCAGATTCCCATTGTAAATCTTCTCAGATTCACATTGTGAACATTCTCAGATTCACAGTGTGCATAATAGTAAGTCAGATTCACAATGTGAATCTGAACTGATCAAACTTTTTTCACATTGTGAATGTTAAAAATTGAAATATTTATAGTTTAGATTCACAATGTGAATCTACATTGATCGAGGGTTTTTTTTTTTTTTTAGTCGGTGTTGATATTTATTAATAGAGTACAAAAAATTAAATTTTTTTGGTATAATTAGTTTTTTTTTTGATAAAAATAAACTTAAATATTGAAAAAACTAACAAAATGAAGTGAGTTTTTTTCGAAAAAAAAAATTCGTTTTTTATATATCAACATGGATCTCTATGGAAAGAGCACGAAAATCGAGAACAACGGTATATTCGATTTTTTTTTTCGATAAAAAATGTGGCCTAAAAAATTTTTTAAACGAAAAAAAGAAATGAGTTTTTTGGTAAGAAGGTGGATTTTTGGTATAATTTGGTGTGTGTGCGTACAATGTACAAGTGTATATTACTGCATTCGCCGTTGATCATTATGATTTCCGACGTTCATGATTGGTTCATTAGTTCCTTGTTAATTATGGTTTTCTATTGAACATTACCCTCTCTCTCTCTATATAGATATAGATATATATAGATATATATATATAGATATATAGATATATATATATATATATATATATATATATAAGCTCGAATATTGGTGTTCTCATTTGATCGTCACTATATCTATATATATATATATATATATATCTATATCTATCTATATATATATCTATATATATATATATATATATATATATATCTATATATATATATATATAAACACACACCCACCGATTAAATTTTAGTTAAAAAGACCATGGGTTTAGCAAATCACCATATCATAACTCAATATATTTTGATAAAAACAAATGTATTACTAGAATCTTAATTCATAAAACATACTTGAATGTAAAATTAGTATATAACAGAATCACGCAATTTGTAGAGATTGAGGCATGCAATCAGTGTTCTAAGACATATATTTTCAGTGTATGGATTTGCCTTGAGGATACAACAATCTATTTAAAATCTAATCTTGAATCTGTCGAATTAATGAAATGTCTCCATGATTACTTTGGAAAAACAAGAATTGAGAGAGTGGGAAAGATGTTTCATTAATATCTGAAAATCTGGAACATATGTGGTATTTATAATTTTCCAGACTAGCAGTTGGTAAGTGCCAATCGAATTTAACTGTCAAAAATTGCCAGGTGGGAAAACTGTCATATACCCGTTCATAAACAGGTAATTACAAAAGATAAATTAAATTAAAAAACTAATTTTTCTGAATTATATAAATTATTTAATTAATCAGAAGAGCCCAAGAGGCCCATGACCCAAGGTCATACCTTTGATCATTATATATATATATATATATATATATATATATATATATATATATATATATATATATATATAATCTATTCTCTAATCACTAGCCCAAGCACTAGCCCATTACCATACATTTAGCCCATGATGTTTTATCCAACACTTTGAACCTACTTGTTCATTATGGTAGATAAATCCTTTTAAGGCTCTTTAAGTTTTGTTCTCCTTCCTATGTGGGACAAGTCCCATATTGTTTTTTCCTTATAAACAAAGTTCCAATAATACCCCACATTTTCTATTCAAACTTCCAATAATACTCCACATTTGAATAGAAATTAAGAGAACTTTGATATTCAAATTAGGGAGGTAAGAGATGACATGCATCTAAAAAGGTGTTTAGGAACTTGAATCTTTCATAGTAAATACTACCTGGATCTAATTTGTCGGTAGTGAACTAGAGTCTTGAACTAACCATTATTTATAGTTGAATCAAAACAAGAAGTATCATGTATATCATATTTAAACATATATTGATTCTTTATGTTGTGTTCATTTCGATCATGAATGATCCTTTCTTCATGAGACTTTTAGAAAGATTAGCCATATTAACTCCCAAAGATGCGACCTTACATCCATCTCAGATAGGTTATGTTAATTTGGAACAACCCACAATATTTCACTATAAAAGCTATCAACATTATTAATAATAAAGATTTATGCCTATATCATCAAAGAAAAACATAAAATAAATATCATAAAAGTGAGCATACATTTGTGTTTGTGCTACTTTGAGTCTTCCTTAACTAGTTGTCATATTGAACCTAAATCATGGGATCTCCAATGTTGTTAGGTTATGTTTCCGCCATGTGGTGACTCATTGTGTTAGTTTTAAGCCCATCCCCCTCGATGTAAAGAGAGCTTGCTCTCTACTAAGGCCTTTTGTCAAAGGATAAACTATATTTTCCTTTGACTTTATGTAACCAATGTAAATGATTTTATTCTTTAACATGTTTAGGCCATAGAAACATACCTTCTAGGAAGCTTTTAAGCCATTCAACTTCTTCAACAACTTTGTCTAAAACAACAAACTCCACTTGCATTGTAGAACGGATATTTACAGTATGCTTAGATGATTTCCATGATATAGCAGCTTCACCAAGAGTGAATACATAGCCACTTATGGAATTTGCCTAAGAATTATCCGAAATACAATTTGCATCATAATACCCTTCAAGAATAGGAAGATATATTGTGTAATG